AGCTTTATTCTGACCGATTCACCCGATTCCGATCCGGATTGCCGATTCGCCGATCCGGATCGCCGATTCGCCGATCCGGATCGGTTTTTGAAAAGCCCGATCCGGGTCACCGATCCGGTTTTTAAACCATTGGTTATAACATAATAACATAACACATTATGTGGCTGCATCAAAGTTGTGCCAAGTGGGTGGGCTGGCAAAATGAACCTACCTAGGCGGTGCATAGCCCGCATGTGCAAGCATATGACACCACGTGATGCACCCACGCCTAGGAGGGGATACACCAGCCCAAGTGATGCATAGCTCTCATGTGCAGGCTGAACACAACCTGTGATGCACCCCCACATGAAGAGGTGGATATATTGCCCATGAGCAGCGCTAAAGAAGTCTTGTTCCCCTCAAAAGAGGAGAAAATGGTTTGGTTAAAAAGGGAGTTATTTAACCCCACCCCCAAATCCCTTAGAGCCAATCTTTATTCATTCTGAGGGGATTAAACTCAAAATCTGAGTTTTGGGATTTCAAACTTTGCACCTAACTTTGTAGATTTTTTGGGTAAAACATCAAGCTGATTTTCTCCTATAGTCCTATCTTTTGAAGGATTTTCCTGGAAGACTTATTGAATTATCGAGGCTTTCAAGAGGAAAGGAGCTTAAACCAAGAATCAAAGTATTTTAGACACTTTAATATTTCGCTATAGGCTACAGTACAGTTAGTTGCCAAATGCTGTGCTTGGTTTGTATAGCAGATGACCATTTGAATTTATTAAATGTAATGAATGGATTGGAGCATTTTATTTAAGATGATTATAAAACCCGTCTCTTACTCTTTATCAGTTGCTCCAACAACGTATATATTGGGGCCAATATAAAATTAGAAAGCCTAATACCACACAAGTCGTGTATTCTTATAAAATTTATATTTTTCAATACTTTATGTTTATTGTCCACATGGAAAGTGATGCACCCGCATTGAGAAGTATAGTGCATGGGAGCCCCTAGCACCTCAAGTCCACATCTCGTATTTGATTAACCTTGTTTGGAGCATATTATAAATAAACAAAGTGGCGTATAGTGAATACTGAGAAACAGTGTGCTGTAACTATTAACAATAGAATAACATACCATTCTACCCTTTGGAGGCTTATCGGTGCCCCGTTCCCCAGTATATCTTCTTTCCACATAAGCATGCCTAATGAAGTCTCTGAGCCTCTCAACATTACTGGGAGATAAACAGAAATAAGAACTTGGAATACAAAAAATGATATACACACACAACACTTATGTGCACGCATGCACACACAAACAAAAAAGGAACTAACCGCTTTTACAACCAGTACACTGGTGGCCTGAGAAATAGAACAAAAGGAAACTAATAAGAACCTGCTATCAGGAAGTGTATGACGATGTGCATCCCATTCTTTGAAATAGAACTCCTTTGCACGCTGTACAAATTATTAAGTAATTTCATTAAGAGTAGATATCAAAATAAGATACTACTACTACAAAGAAAATGAGAAGGACAGAACACCTCAATTGGTTCATGGTTAAGTATGCATGCGGCATACCTCATTCCCCCCTCCTTGAAGTGCGGTAACTTCTTGGGAGGTAAACTTGGCCATGGAAACTGATTTCACACGGTGAGTGAACTCTCGACTAACATAATGTTAGGAAAAACAAACAAAGTCAACAAATATCAACATAATATCAGAAAGGCACGCTAAAATATCAAGACAATGCCTGAAACACCCACACAAGTCATTGAGGTGCTCCAGGGGATGAGGATTTTATAACAGTGCCATATTAATTAATTTAATCAGATGCAAATTACTAATAGTGCATTAGGAGACAGTTCAAAACAGCACTTTATGGGAGCCCCCAAATTAAAGTCCACATTTTACATTATATTTGGGAAGGGATCTGGACCACTTATTTCTTTTATTGTACAGAACAGTACCCCTGCGACATTACTGGGCTTTTTTTCACAGGGCTATTTCATCACCCGTTCCAAAAGGATCCTAAACTACTCACATTAAGGTATTTTAAGTACCAAACTGGAGGTAACATAGCCATTTAAAAATTGAATAGTTCAGGAATTGGGGTTGGGCTCGAGTGGTTAGCAGTTGACGCCAAACAATGTTACATCTCAAGCTCAACTCCTACCACTAAACTACTCAAAAAGAACAGTCCAGGTACTGTTTTTTATTTTTTTTGAACCAAAAAAAAAAAAACCACCCAGGATTCAACACATCTCAAGTTCAAGTCCAGGTACTGGTTTTAAAATGGAAATTCTGAAGCTGTTTGATATTTTAATGTAGCAGAGTAGCACATCTTAAACCACCCAAGATTCAACATATCTCAACCCACCCAAGATTTAAATATGGATATGCATCAAATGTTGCTACTAGAGTAGTTCATTAAAGAGGAGGAGAAACTGGTACAGCTTCAGTGAGAGAAATTCTCAAATAAGATAAACCCAACTAAAGGGGGGCTTGTTCCCCAACCCCTATAAAAAATGAAAACAAAAGGAAGCAGCCACTTTAAGAACCCAAGTTGTTCAGAACGTACTGTATTCCACTACATGCGGTGCAAACAAATGTCCAGAAATTGGTACACACATATTGCGGGCCCTGGTTGCAAAAATAAAAGCAGAATCAGTTGCATTATAGATTTTAGAATTGGAATAGGTAAAAACCAATAATTTCTTCTAAACTTATGTAAAAAGCAATAATTTCTTCCAAACTCAATTAACCGAAACCACCGCTGAAGGAAGTCAAATTAAATAGCTAAACACGGAATCAACAATTAGAATTTTTTGCTTCCCCCCCCAACATACCACTTCCTGACCCACACCAAAGGAGTTCATAAAAAGGCACTGAACATGCACAGGACATATCATTCATATAAATTTTGCAACTAATGCAAGAAGCATGCAAGATATCACAAACTATAACACATGCTTTCAAAAAAACTTTGTTAAAGCAAACTTCTCCGAATAGTTTAAAACACATTTTTACCAGATTTTTTAGAAGTTCTGGAAGAAACCTTCTTTGCCCTTTATTCCAAGCTGCTGGAGGAATATCAAAAAGGGAATCTGATATGCACCTTTTTTTCGAATTTATGAGGCCAAAAGAATCTTAAAACATTTGACTTCATGCCTAAAAGTATTGGAAAGCTTCCTGCAAAATATTGCATCTGAAGAAGAATGAAAAGCCCCCACAATTTCCCATTCTGAGAGATAATAATGGCCATGACCCACCTCCCGCACAACTTCAACCAACCATCTCAGAATATTGTGAGAACAGGATCCCCCATGGCATGAAGAAATCTGCCTCATCTTCAATATTACCTCAATTTTAGTGTAAGGAATGAACTTAAAACATACACCGTAATTGAAATATATGAGAATCAGACAATTGATTATATTGAGGGCAAAGGCCTCTTATGTTATATCTGTAATATGAATGACTTTCACCTGATGAATTTATATAAAAGAATTTGATTCATCATTTTTATGGAAACATCATTCAGAAACTGTTCTTTATAATTTATCAGGCTTCATTTGTATGGGAATATGCTCACAAAACCTCAATCAGTTCATTTCTTCACGGTATAAGCCCCCCCAAAAGCCTACAGAATGCTTCTCTGACAGGCTTCCACCACTGGTGTACGTTCAGCTCCAATTCCTACCCCAATAGAAACTTAAGATGTTCAGTGTCTAACAAGTAGTTCTCGATACCTTCCAATGTTGACAACTCAATAAAAGACTCTAGAAGCTTTAAGAACCAATGGGTGATTAAGAATCTATAAGTGCACTAGCCAAAAATGGCAATCAACAATGATACCCACACTTTCGCCCCAAATAAAAGAAGGAAAAAAAAAAATTTAACGATGATATCGACACCAGCCTCACAAACAAAAGAAGTTGGGGTGGGGGGGTGGGGACCCTCACCAAACAAGGAAAAGTAAAGTATCATGTGGTAGAAACAGTGTTCATAATCCAGAATTTGCTCTGGGACTCCATGGGTGCCTGGAATGATTCCCAAATGCACTCACAAAGTCCTGGCCAAGTTCCCCAAAAAAGGCTCAAAAATTCCCAAAACCTTCAGGAAAAATATTAAAATGGAAAAATAGAAAAAATATAGAAAAAACAAAAAAAATGGATGATAATTTAATTTTTGTATACACATTATTTTTGGCCAGCCTTATTTTTTCGTTCTCTATAGAATCCAAAGCTTAAGATCAAACAAAAAATTTCAAGATCTCATACTTACAAGATTTTGAATATCAATAGGCTTAGGGACAAATTTTGAGGGTGAATCAAGGTGGCATTGCGAAAGCAAGCAAGAAAACAACTTCTACAAACTCTTATTTTTAAAAAAAAAACTCGCAAATATGATTTTTTTTTTTTTTTTTTGGTGGAATCTAATGAACTTGATAGAGGATAGCAGAATATGCCTAAGGGTGGTGAATTTTGAGAGATGACTCAAACAATGACGAAGATGGACAAAATGGGCCTCATAGTTCCACAACCTCCTACCCTTTATCATAAAAGTGTCCAACAAGAAAAGTTTTTGTGGACTCCCCAAGTCCCTTGACCTCTCTAGAGTTCCCGTAGCAACTTGGTTGAGTACTGCTACAGTATAGGGCCCCAAAGAGTTGGGGGCCTTAAGGACTCAGCAGGCTGCTGAGTCCAAGTCAGCCTCGGTGAGTTTCAAAAGACTGGATAGAAACAGCAGTAGCAATGATGTTTGTCTGTCTACCAACTTCACTCATATCTTGGTCTCTATCTTCCTTTCTAATGTATATGTTTTTGTTTGGATGGACTCTTTATGTAAATTGAATGTATGCTTCTTTCCATGATACAACATTAACAATCAATAGGTCAATACCAGAAAGTCATCTTTTTAGAAGTAGTTCTTTCTAGCATTATGTGCTACCATAAAAGTAGTTCTAAGTGATGCATTTGACCATGTTTGCTGTAGCCACCATCAATTCCCACTTCATATAGTCACCATCGGTTCCCACTTCATAATGAATCCATAAGATGACCTTGTGTAGTATAGCATTGATTACATACGGTGGTGGTATTGCACATTCCTTCATTACAAAATGTGATAAAACCACTGTCACCTTTGATGAGCATACCCCCTTTTCTTCTTCAGTTTCTTCTTCTTCTTTTTCTCCCCTTTTTTTGTTTTTTTGGGTATTGTAACAAGAGGTAACTTTTAAATCAAGTTGCCAAGAGACATAGAAAGTGAGGCATAAACAGTTAGGGATGGACAGAAAAAAAAGAAAACAACATTGGACACATCAAATATGATCTGGGAAACATGGTCCTACAAACAGGGCACTCCTACTATTCCCCTCACATGTTAGTGAGTCTGCCACATCGTTAGCCATTCGTGGGACATGCTGAACAGTGGCTGGCCACTCTTGACAAAGATCATCTGTTTCTTCTTCATTGTTAATGATATTTTCTCCCACATTTCATGCTGCTGCTCAAAACCCATTTTCTATCGTGGCTCTTATTCAAAAGTGAAATCATTAAATGACTTTGCACAATAGTTAATAGGTGTCATGTTCAGCAACTTCTACAGACAAATTTCTCCATTAACTCCCTACCTCCAACATTTAATAAAATCAAGCAGATTCTGCACATTTCTAAATATTTGCCATATTGGACCTGTTACCAACCAGAATTCATTTTATATCAATATGCATGAAACCATAAATTCATGTTGAAAACTCTCATGTATCAGTTTCTGTTCAATGTTGATAATTAGCTCTAACCCAACCACACCCTTCTCAATGTAATCTTCAAAAAGATGAAGGGTCCTAGACTAATTAAGTGAACTTTGGTTTCTTTCTCATCACTAACATCTCAGCAACTGGTGAACGATCACACAAATACCAATAAAAAGCATAATATTAAATAATTTATGAAACGTGAATGCCCATACACTCTTTTATAGAGAAATTCATTAGCACCTGATTTTGACTAGAATCACATTAGCAAATGTTAAACTCGACAAGTGAAGTTCCTCTGTCCTTCTTGGAGATTTAAGCCCCTAGGGCTAACATGAGGAAAGGAAAAAAGATGGAAGAGCAAGATATTCCAGAAACTAACAAACCCCAACAAATGTCGACACGGTGACAAAGGCAGAAATTATTTCTTTATCTTTGTGAGGATTGACAATTAAATTCCATTCATTGCAATATCATAATAAACACAACAAATGGGAACATAAGGAAATGTGAAAGGCAAAAACTGTTGTACTTAACAATCAGAATGCCACAAATTCAACGTAGACAGAGAAGAATAAACTATGCAAGCTCCACTGCATAAAGCTTACCAGGCTGTTGCAATTTATACATCTTCGATTCGCAGGGAGCTTTAGAAGACCCCGAATAATCTTCTCATTCTTTTCATCTTCCTTCATTCTGTTTGCCATTACCCCAATATTTCCACTGCGGTCTAATTAAATCAAATATATCAAACACTAATCAAAATCACTCAAGAAGTAAATGGAGCTCCCCCAACTAACCAAAATTCATTAACATCAGTGCGTCAAATCTCAGTTTTCATCAATCAAGAAAGCAGTTACAATGTCAAAACCCCAGATCCAAAACAATAAGATCCTTGCTCAAGGTGAGACAAGATTTTGTGTGTGTATATTTGTATATATGATAAAGGAAACAAAATAGTAGAGTGCAAAAGACCCAAAAACAATTATCCCATACGGAAAAATGGATTTCCCAGATTTATACAATGTGAACGTGGCATCAAATATAATTCAGTTTTCCCACACAGATTTCCAAAAAAATTCAAAAATAACAACAAAGACATAATCAGTTAATCAATGTAATTTTTCAGTGCCAACACTTGTTAACATTTATCACACCAAACACCAAAACAAACATCGTTTTCAGTTTCCCTTTTCAAGCTAAGAACATACTTAATTGTAATTATCGACTAATATCAAAATCATTCACATCTAATATTGCAAAAAAATAAATTTTCAAAATGAAAAGGACCCAAAAATACAAAAAAGCCCCACGAAAACTGCAAAAGAAACCAAGATCTGAGACCATAAACCAAAATCATCAGCTTAAAATCCCAAACTAAAACACAGTGTAAGATCTTCAAAAAAGCAATAACAGTTCCAGAACAAAGTGATTTTACCAAATTTAACCAACCTTTTATCCCCTTCAATTGAGGAATTATTGAGCTCAATAACAGCAAATTCCGAGGAGAATGTCAAAAATTCCCAAGGATCGTGGAAAATGAGCTAAAAAGCACATATATATGAAGCGATCGTCCTTCACACCTTTCCTCTCTCTCTCTCTCTTCTC